TATTTAATTTGGCGTATATTAAACTAACTATATAGTGAAACAAATAATTATAAATATAATAATGTTAATCAATTATTATGACCATAATACATTATTTTTCTTATTTCCAAAATCATAAAATAACTTTATAAATAGTAAGAGTATACAAAATTATAAATAATAATTAACTATATTTAAAATATTGTTGTTATATAGCAGTAAATCATATTCCTACAAACAAAACAAAGAGGGCACTTGAATATTCAAYATTGGATACAATAAAATTAGAGAATGTGAAACGAAAAAAAAAGCCWGCAGTTTAAGTGATGCTGGTAAGTGTTTATTTTACAAGCTTTAAAAACCTTTTATTTGTTAATGGTGTTCTAGAATTCAAAAATGTAGTTTTAAGGCAGCTTGCTGTCATAAAAGTAAACATAAGGAAACTTGATGACCGTGTACAAAACCTGACACATTCAAATTCTACTGTTCTAACCAATTATATTCTAGAAATTAATCTAAATAATGATTTAATGGAAGAATTTCCAATAAATACAGAAGAATCATTAAAGAAGATAGAATTATCATTAACTGATAAAACATATAAATTAAACTTGGTATGCATTATAAACAAATTTTTTTATACAAACAAAATAATTTATGATAAAATAAATCAATATTTAATACTATTTCTCTAAATCCATGTAAAATACTTCAAAAAATCATCAGTGCTCTTTTTGTTTAGTCTCTGACCCATGTCGTACAATACCAAACAAGTTCAGCAGAGCAAAATTGGTGATATTATAACTTTAATGTTATAGTGAATTGACCTATTATTAAATTATTTAAGTAGAAAYGTTACTTAAAAAAACTCTTAAGCTTAAATAATTGATGATTAAATTATATACTTACTACTGAGTTATTATTATGTAATTTAATACGATTTTACAATTATCATGACTCGTTTTAAAGCTTAAGTATTAATAGCCTATTAAATATTCTAGAATTTTAAATTGTTATAATCGGTTGTTATTATCCTTTTGATACTTTATTTTGTATTTCATAACCTGTTGTTAATTATTACTTAATTATTTTATTTTTAGATTGCAGCTCTAAGTAAATTGGGTGGTTCAAAAACTGATGAAGCTACCAAATTCATCCTACGGAAACTTTTTAGTGACAAACTTGCTATGACCTATAGTTGGTGTGGGGGCAAGGGCAAAAGAGTTATGTCGAATTTGAACATATCAAGGGTTATAATTTGTAATAATTATTTAAATAGTTAAATTATACATATTTGATATAATTATAAAATCATGGTATAAATATCTTTTGTTTACTTTAATTTAAGATTCAGTATTCAAAACCATTAAAACAGCAACAGAAGCAGAAATAATTTTAAGCATCAAAAACTGGTTGAGACATGCCAAAAAAAGAAATGAAAATTGGTAATAATTATAAATTCATACTTTATATGTCTGTAAAATAATGAATAATATATTCCATTGAAATTAGCGAGAAAAGATTTGCAGATTCCAATGAACAAATACATTGCCTGCAAATGAATTACCACATCATACAAACCTATTGTTATTTTTCTTAAATCAAGCCAGCTCAATATTACATAGTCACATAAGTCAATGTGCAATATTATTAATTTAATTAATTTGTTTTTGTTCTGATATAAAGTACCTAAACTATTTTCATTGAATATTAAGTATACTAAATGATTTTATTTTATATACATTTGTTTTGTTACA